ATCATTTCGGCACGCGTCTCTCGAGGATCGTGGCCCTGGCCCACTTGGAACTCCTATCGTTCCCGTGCCAGCCCAGCTTCTAACACGCCTCTGCCGTGCAGGAGGCACGGCGGCGGATTTGACTCCCGTGGCTCTGGTGGCCTTGCGGCTGACGTGGGTACGCTCCTCTCCCTCTCTTCATTTGTGGTTCAAGCCATTTGGGCATGCGCCTCACCCTTCTGGGGCAGGCCACAGGGACGCCGGGCAACACGCCGGGACCCATGGGGATTCTATAGCATCCCTTCGGGATTCTATTGCATCCTTTAGGGATTCTGTAGCATCCCTTCGGGATTCAATAGCAACCCTTATGGATTCTATAGCATCCCTCAGGGACTCTATGGCATCCCCCAGGGATTCTATAGCATCCCTTCGGGATTCTAACGCATCCCTTGAAGGATTCTATAGCGTACCCTTAAGGATTGTATAGCATCCCCTTAGGGATTATATAGCATCCCTTCAAGGATTCTATAGCGTCCCCCAGGGATTCTATAGCACCCCTTGGGGATTCTATAGCATCCCTAAAGGAATCTATAGCAGCCCTGAGGGATTCTATAGCATTCCTGAGGGATCTTAGAGCATCCTTCAGGGATTCTACAGCATCCCTTATGGATTCTATAGCATCCCCTTAATGATTCTCTAGCACCCTCAAAGATTCTATAGCATCCCTTTGGGATCTTATCGCATCCCTTTGGGATTCTATAGCATCCATTCGGGATTCTGTAGCAGCCTTTTAAGGATTCGATAGCATCCCTAAGGGATTCTATGGCATCCCTGAGGGATTCTATAGCATTCCTGAGGGATTCTATAGCGTCCCTTCGGGATTCTACAGGACCCCATTAAGGGTTCTATGGCATCCCCTTAAGGATTCTCTAGCATCCCTTACGGTTTCTATAGCATCCCTTTGGGATTCTATAGCATCCCTCAAGGGGTTCCGCAGCCTCCCCTGAGGGTTTCTCTCGCATACCTTCAAGATTTTATGGCATCCCTTAGGGATTATATCGCATTCCTGATGGATCATGGATTCTATAGCACCCCTTAGGGGTTCTGCAGCCTCCCCTCAGGGATTCCATAGCATCCCTTAGGGATCCCGTAGCATCTCTTAAGGATTCTATAGCATCCCGTTGGGATTCTATAGAATCCCCTAGGGATTCTATAGCATCCCTCAGGGATTCTATAGCAGCTCTGAGGGATACTATCGTTTTCCTGAAGGATGTTCGAGCATCCTGAAGGGATTATACAGCATCCCTTATGGATTCTATAGCATCCCCTTAAGGATTCTCTAGTACCCCCCAAGGATTCTATAGCATCCACTTTGGGATTTTATAGCATCCCTTAGGGATTCCATAGCATCCCCCAGGGATTCTGTAGCAGCTTTTTAAGGATTCGATAGCATCCCCGAGGGATTCTATAGCGTCCCTTCGGGATTCTATAGCATCCCTTGGGGATTCTACAGGATCCCTTAAGGATTCTATAGCATCCCCTTACGGATTCTATAGCATCCCTTACGGTTTCTATAGCATCCCTTTGGGATTTTATAGCATCCCTCAGGGGTTCCGCAGCCTCCTCCGCGGGTTTCTATCGCATCCCTTCAAGATTGTATGGCGTCCCTTAGGGATTATATCGCATCCCTGATGGATTATGGATTCTATAGCACCCCTTAAGGGTTCTGCAGCCTTCCCTTCGGGATTCTATAGCATCCCTTCGGATTTCTACAGTATCCCTGAGGAATTCTACAGCATCCTTTCTGGGTTCCTCAGGGATTCTGTAGCATCCCTTAGGGATTCCATAGCATCCCTTAGGGATTCCATAGTACCCCAGTCTAGGGATTCCGTCGCATCTCTTAGGGATTCTGTAGCAGCCCTTAGGGATTCTATGCATTCCTTAGGGATTCTATCGCATCCCTTAGGGGTTCTGCAGCCTTCCCTTAGGGATTCTATAGCATCCCTCAAGGATTCTATAGCATGCCCGAAGTGTTCGGCTCGGGGGAGCGCGCGTAGTTTCAGCTCGTGGGAATGCGTCGGCTTTCTTAATGACCCCCAAGGATTCCAGAGGATTTTCCAACGGCTTCCTTTGGTTTCTGTGGCCAACCATATGTTGCGTTGCGTTGCGTTGCGTTGCGTTGCGTTGCGTTGCGTTGGTTGCCGGGGGGGGGTCCGAGTCCACCAGTGAGATATTTCGCCACAAGGAGCGAAACAGCGAGCTGGTGGACCCTCACCGGGTCCACCAGCCGGCTGTTTAGCCTTGTTGTTGTTGTTGCTGCTGTTTTTTTGTTAAGAAAGCAATATATAATTCGGGGCCCAACAATCCAACTTGAGCATGAGGAATCTTTTCTCTCATGAAAATAGGGGGCCCCGAGGGGGGCAGTACAATTCAAAAGCACAGTGTGCACCGGGGAAGGTGGATCAGCAACAACAGCCATCATTTTAAACTGTTCGCTCTTACCTGCTTGCGTGCCACTCGA